TAACCTTCCTTTTTTACCAAAAATCGACTGCACCAAAATTTCTCGGGAAAACACTTTTTCTTATTAATTTTGGTGCGTAGAATCCAAAACGATTCGTACTTTTTCGATTAGACTTCTCAATCAAAAGCTATAGACTAAAAACCAATTTCGAAAGAAAATTCAAAGGGCTGTAACTTTTGATCTAGTAGCCCAATCTTGAGACTGTTTGAAATTATAGGATCTACAGGCCATATTCTATAAGAAAATGTTTTTTTCCGGTCGATCTCAGACAATTTTTTTGGGGGCCTCAAAAAAAGGCAGGTTATAACCTTCCTTTTTTACCAAAAATCGACTACACCAAAATTTCTCGGGAAAACACTTTTTCTTATTAATTTTGGTGCGTAGAATCCAAAACAATTCGTACTTTTTCGGTTAGACTTCTCAATTCGTTCTTTTTCGATTAGACTTCTCAATCAAAGGTTATGGACTAGAAACCAATTTCGAAAGAAAATTCAAAAGGCTGTAACTTTTGATCTAGTAGCTTAATTTTGGAACTGTTTGAAATTATGGAATCTACAGGCCATATTCTATAAGAAAATGTTTTTTTCCGGACGATCTGAGACAATTTTTTTTTGGGACCTCAAAAAAAAGGCAATTTCGAAAGAAAATTCAAAGGGCTGTAACCAGGAGAGGAACCTTAATGGAAAGCGTTCCGCCGACGTGGAGGAGGTGAAGAAGAAAACGATGGAGGAGCTTGCGCACATTGTAAAGTAGATGAGTTTAATAAATTGTTTAATAATAATATAGTTAGTTACCTATGTATTAAGGGCATAATAGTGATATTTATATTTTCGAGGGCGACGAGTTAAAAAGTTCGAGGGCCTATGGCCCGAGAGCTTTTTAGTCCCCCGACCCAAAGGTCGGCTTAGTAATTATAAATGTCTGGGTCAAAATCTAATTTTACTGTCGTATTTATGTCTAATAATATGTGTGCAAAATTGAGGCGTGGATTTGAAGGGGGCGCAGGGGGTGCGTCCCCCCTCCTAGACAGTGGTAGTTACGCAGGCGGTCATCATGGGGATTTGGGAAGCCATAGAAGATATGGAGATAGTCAAATTAGACAAGAAATTTCGTTTTTATTTTTTCTGAGGTTATTTGGGCAGATACCAAAAAAATCATTTTCTCATGTCACTTATTGATAAGATATTACAAGAGATGTTGAGACGTTTCATTTCGGAGAAATCATTATAAACTTCATCTTTTTATATGGCCCGTAAAAAAAGTAGATTCTATGTTGGGTAGCACACAAAAAAAAACGAAAGTTGGAAACTGTTGATTTCAACAAGATGGTGTACCTGCACACAATGCCCTAATCGTGTAAGAATACCTATTGGACAAATTTCGTGAAAAGTGGAAAAAAATCGATTTGCGCCGACAAAAAAAAACTCGACTTTGTCATTTAGACATTTTCTGATTTGTTCTTTTCTTAGTTTATGAAGAATTAGTTATCTGCTCAATATATTATGTACTATGCGCAAAAATGTTCTATTTTTATACGAATAATAAATGTTTTTCTTTAATAATTAATTTAATAATTGTATGCGCCCCTCCCTAGACCAAATCCTAAATCCGCCACTGGCCAAATTTGGTTCCAATCGGTTTAGCCGTTTAGCCGGAAATGAGAGTACAGACAGCCAGACCGACTGAAATCATAAAGATTTGGTTTGATTCGGATTCCTGGTGATCTAAAACGTGTATTTCCGCCAAGAAAGTGGAGGGTAATTTTTAATCCCCTTACTAGCGGGCGGGTGGTAAAAATGGTCACATGGATTGTAGCGAAGAGCCTGTACCAATAATAATCAAAGTGGAGTAAGACATTTAAAAATTTACGCGCCAATTTGGAGCCCCACTTTTATAAGACGAAGGGAAAAGCTACTTTATCTAGCAGAAAAGGACGGTTACGGACCCTCCGTACCTGTTTACGTCGCGTTAGGGCTAGCTAATTGCTCTACAATAGTTAACCGTCCACTTGGATCGTCTTATTAATAAAAAAAACTTAATTGGAGAATGTTTGAGTTCTAATAATCAATTTTGAGTCAACTGAACTCAAATTGAACTATTTTGATACAACCGACCCTTAAGTTATATTTAGTAAAAATACGCACGTTACTAATTTACCACATTTACTCGTCTCACGACAACAAATTACATTCCCCAGAACATTCAGTTCCGTTCTCAGAAATGCGGCGCCGGGCAGTTGTTTAGTCGCCTCTTACGACACGCAGTGCCCTCTGCGGTAGGGGTATTCTTTCCCGACCCTACACGGGTAGTAAATTTTCTAAAAGGTTATTTAGAATCATTTTGGTCGGAACTTTATTAATTACGAGTTTTTGTTTGATGACGTAATGAGGATTTATTGAATTTAGGTTCAACTATACTAACTAGGTACTACAAACTACTTCAACGTTATTGTATAAGACAGTAAACTCGGAATCTTCCTATGCAGAAACACTATCGGCCGCAGTAAATGGTTTTAGGACGTTATGAGTTAACCACTGCGAAGACTCCAGTATTCTATACAACGACAGTGGTAACACAGGGAAAGTTTCCAAAATGTAGTTATGCAAATCGTGAGCGCCCACAACACAGTACGCCATTCCATTTTGAACGCAGGCACGAACAAAAGCCAGCAATCCAGCGACACTATCCTCGTCCTCGTCTGAATAGTTGTAGTTTGGAAATCTCTGTTTGGTCATCGCTATCCATTTACCCTTAATATTTTGTCGAACAGCTACCATCTTGATGTACAAAAATAATTCCTTGACGGAAATGTTCAAAGGTGTACCGTAAGTGCTTAGACCGGCACACGCCAGTATGAAACGCCACCTCCTGTCTTGCGACCAGAAAAATACATGGCTAAAATACATTTACTTAGAGGAATTATTGATGATGAAGTATGGCACCTACTTCAAAACTTGATTAATCGACGGCCTATCTCCAGGGTCGTACAGCAACATCCAGGAAATTAAATCTTGTAAGTCAATATTATTGGTGAGTATGCGAGGTAGCGCGTCTTCCAAGTTTCTCAATATTTCGTCCATTGTCTCGCCGAATGGATGCTTTCCGGCCGAAAATATGAAATGCACGATCATGCCTTAAAATAATGACATTCGTTTAGTACCAAACAGTGTCAGCTTGTCGTTGGTCTCCATTCAGTTGCAACTCAAAGAAAACCAATGCACAGGTTACTTACCAGCAACTTGAACGTCAGAGGCACGCGTACATATAACAGTAGCAGTTTCCCTAAAATTATTCAGCGTTTCTCTAGCAAACCAGATTAAAGATGTATTCGGTGCCTCAGTAAAAGTGTATAACGCCTGTAAGCGGTCTGTGAGATTATAAATATGGTTATTAAGCAAATCACCAACTTTGTGTATTCCGAATTCAGCAATACGGACATTACCGCTTAGATCAAGGAAAATATTTGAGGGTTTCAAGTTACCATGCACTATCGGTTCTTTGCGATCGTGCAGGAATCTCAATCCGGAGAGAAATTGCTTTGCGACATCGAAAGCACGCAGGTGCATGTTACCGTGCTGTTTGATGCACATGATGTATTCCCCCATGTTGTACTCGCATAGGGGAGTCGCTACTATCAGCTCGTTACATTCGAGGTGACACGTAAAGTAGTGGAGCAGATTCGCGTTTCTTAAGCCGAGCAGTGGATTTATGAGATCCTTCATCAACTTTGACACGTCGTCTCTCGCTTTTATTCGTTTCACCGCCAACGGGCGATCTTTCGAGTCGAGACCTAAAACCACCGGACTGAAACTGCCACCGGCCGATATGATGTGGACATCGTGCACTTCTTCTCCACTAACACGAATGTCGCCATTTAACAGTACGTTATAATTTTTTAACAGTTGAAGGCTCTTAATTACATTACACCAACGGCTCGGCATAAATTCGTAACCAGGATCAAATTCAATTTTAGGAGGCGTTTTCATTTCACCGCCACGTTTTCCAACAGAGAAAACTTGTTCCTCGATGGGCAAACGCTTTGTGTATTTTGAATGGCCATTGCTTATATTGTCTTCTAAATCAGTGTAATCATCTACTAGCGCTTCAATTGAATTACACAAGTGGTAAGCGTGTTTCATGGTCTTTTCTCGGTCGATTGCTACTTTTGAAGAGTTTATCGGTTTCCTTGGAGGAAGTGCGAGCATTTCCCTAAGATATAAAGCGTCAGGGTGCTCATCCGGAACAGTGTACTCCGGTGGAGCTGGTTCCTGACAGTCATCCTTAGAGTAACTGTCGCCATTCAGCTGCATTGGCATTTTCTCACCAACGTCTTTCTCCTGCGTAGATGCTATTTGCAAGGTATCATCAATCATAGATTTACCCCTAACTTTAAAATTCAAAAGCAAATTTTCAACTTCAGTCATTAGCTTAGTGCACTCGAATAAATGATCCGGGGCACTATGGTTAAGTTGCACAACTAGATCTTCAAACTCCGCCCGCAGTCTTTCCACGTGGACGAGCTCCAGTTTCTTCATAGCTTCGGAATTGTACGACCCCTCGTCCTTTGTGTCATCTAAAAAATTGCACATCGGTACATTTTTTCGGAAAAATTAATCTTACCACGCGCACGTGAGGCATCCTGGCCCCAGTGACACTGAAACTTCTGCAAAATTTTGTTCAAAAGTCCCGATAGGTAAGTGATGGCTGATTGAAATTGCACCTCAGCATTCTGCGGGGAATTGGCAGTTCCGAGTATGTTCACTAATTTTCCCTCCTCGTGACTACTAGTATCAGACTGCATACTGTGGTTAATATCTTCCGTAACTTTGTGTTCTAGCAGCGCCAACGTTTCGTGGTACTTCGTTATTAACGGATCCTTACCGCTATCCATTAACCACACATCTTCCCACGTCGAAAGTTCAGACCATCGAGGTTTTTCCTCATCAGTTTCCGTGGAATTCTGCGAGGCTTTCAGTATGGAGGTATCTGACGCGCTTTTGTAATCTAGAAACTTTTTACCATTTTGACTCTGGTCCCCCGCAGAGCCAGTGCTTCGGTTTGCGGCGGTGGCAACTTCGCGCGATTTATTTTTTAGGCTCTCCGGTTCAAATTGACCCGCATTGGTTTGAAACTCTCCGGCGTTTCTTAGTTGGAGAGATTTCTCTTCTTTGATCGCATTAAATAATTCCGTAAATTTTAAGAAATCCTTTGCGTCCTGCAAATAATACTGATGAAACTAAAAATAAATGCGTGCAGCTTACAAGAAAAAGAGAAACACCAACTTAATCCAAAAATTCGAGCAAATTTAGTAAATTTACCTAAGATGAAGGCAGTAATATGACAATACGTAACTTTTGGTTAGACGCGATAGTGACAGTTCAAAAATTCTTTCGTTTTCCAAGGCAACTTGATTTCTGTTATAATATTATACTTAACAGAGGTCACAGACTTATTCAACAAATTTGGCAATGAGTTTCTTTACGCGAGCATTCATTATTAGTGATGCCGATTCACCCAGTGAAAGTCCTCGCCCCTAGAGCTTGCGCCAAAACCACCCCTTTGAAAAACACCCCATTTACACTTGTTTTTCTTGTAAATACGTGACCGCACACAAAAATCTTGAAGACAACCTTTTGAAGGAACAAGAAATTTCCTCTAAAATCTAAGTTTTGCGCAAATTTTAAAGAAGAAGATCATGGAAGAGAGCGTCGTTATATAAATCCAAGAGTGCAAATTGTTGAAGTCACAGTAGGCCAGGAAACAATTAATAAAAAATGGTGTACACAGGAAAATGCTTAAAACACAATTTTTGACTTCGTAACTTTGTTTGGACTAGTTGAACATATGCAAAGTCCTCGCCCGCAACTTTTGAGCCGGGAAAAGGGGGAGAGTTTGAAAGACCAATTTTTCGGGTTTCCGCTTATATCTCAGAAACTATGCGACCTAGCGACATGACGAGCCTATACAAAATGAAAGTTGATTAAATTGACTACAAGTTTCACTTGGTCAGTTCACGATATCATTGTATGGCATTCAACAATCCCCCCTTGAACGTCTGTAATTTTGAAAAAAAATATTTTTGCCTTACATTCTTTGCGGATACCGGACCGGATTCAACGATATACACCCAAAAAATAAATAAAGATAAAAATAAAATCGCACCCCGTTCCCAAGTTTCATATTTTTAAGAAAATTCTGCTATGCATGTATAGCAATTCTCGATTGCTGGGGTTGTAACTTTTGTGGTGCACGAAATATTTTTGTTTCGTTCACCGATTAAGTTTAAATGATGTGCAAACAACCCCCCAATTGCATTCTAAAGATAAAATTGCACCCCGTTCCCAAGTTTCATATTTTTAAGAAAATTCTCCTATGCATGTATAGCAATTCTCAATGGCGGTGGTTGTAACTTTTGTGGGGCACGAAATATTTTTGAAGATTGGGCGACTAGATCAAAAGTTACAGCCCTTTGAATTTTTTTTCGAAATTTGTTTTTTGTCCATAACTTTTTATTGAGAGGTCTAATCGAAAACGTACGAATTGTTTTGGATTCTACGCACCAAAATTAATAAGAAAAAGTGTTTTCCCGAGAAATTTTGGTGTAGTCGATTTTTGGTAAAAAAGGAAGGTTATACACTGCCTTTTTTTGAGCCCCGAAAAAAAATTGTCTCAGATCGACCCGGAAAAAAAATTTTCTTATAGAATGTGGCCTGTAGAATCCATAATTTCAAACAGTTCCAAGATTGGGCTACAAGTTCAAAAGTTACAGCCCTTTGAATTTTCTTTCGAAATTGGTTTCTAGTCTATAACTTTTGATTGAGAAGTCTGATCGAAAAAGTACGAATTGTTTTGGATTCTACGCGCCAAAATTAATAAGAAAAAGTGTTTTCCCTAGAAATTTTGGTGTAGTCGATTTTTGGTAAAAAAGGAAGGTTGTACACTGCCTTTTTTTGAGCCCCGAAAAAAAAATTGTCTCAGATTGACCCGTTCCCAAGTTTCATAATTTTAAGAAATTCTCCTATGCATGTATAGCAATTCTCAATTGCGGGGGTTGTAACTTTTGTGGTGCACGAAATATTTTTGTTTCGTTCACCGATTACGTTTAAATGATGTACAAACAACCCCCCAATTGCATTCTAAAGATAAAATCGCACCCCGTTCCCAAGTTTCATATTTTTAAGGAAATTCTCCTATGCATGTATAGCAATTCTCAATTGCGGGGGTTGTAACTTTTGTGGTGCACGAAATATTTTTGTTTCGTTCACCAATTACTTTAAAATGATGTTCAAACAACCCCCCAATTGCATTCTAAAGATAAAATCGCACCCCGTTCCCAAGTTTCATATTTTTAAGGAAATTCTCCTATGCATGTATAGCAATTCTCAATTGCGGGGGTTGTAACTTTTGTGGTGCACGAAATATTTTTGTTTCGTTCACCAATTACGTTTAAATGCTGTACAAAAAACCCCCAATTGCATTTTAAAGATAAAATCGCACCCCGTTCCCAAGTTTCATATTTTTAAGGAAATTCTCCTATGCATGTATAGCAATTCTCAATTGCGGGGGTTGTAACTTTTGTAGTGCACGAAATATTTTTGTTTCTTTCACCGATTACGTTTAAATGATGTTCAAACAACCCCCCAATTGCCTTCTAAAGATAAAGTCGCATCTCGTTCTCAAATTTGATATTCTTAAGGAAATTGTCTGATGCACGTATTATAGTAATCCTGAATAAGCTTCAGTTTATTATATATGGGCGCTGATTTCATTGAGCGTAAAGTTTAAAATAATTGAGCAATTGGGAGATGAATCTATTGAAACTCCCTTAACGTTTTATGACCTCACTACAACAAGTTAAACGATCGTCATCTTTACTTACATCGGTATTTGCATTACAATTGCTATATTTGATTTTCATTTGTTGATGCGCTAAAGTTATTTCCTCGCAATGTTTCCGTAACCACGTCCGTCCACTCGCATGACCAAGGCTAAGTTTAATCAAAGGTTTCAAAGCGAGTGAACAATCAATATCGCAACTTGTTCCATACCTGAAATCGCAAATTTGGATAAGCGTGTTAAGGGTAGGTACCTAAACTTCTTCAGTATTGCCAAACAAATAGTTGCGCAACCGTCTGCAATGAAACTTTCCAAAGTGGAATCGAGCTCGTTTCTCGTATCAAGCAAACTGTTCATTACCACCAAGCAACTGGTTAAATGCTGAACGCTGCTCATGTTTCTTTCCGTTGCCTGTATCGCAACAGAAAGGGATCAAAGATAAGTTAAATTACTGCATTAGCACTTGCGCAACCCTCTTGAAGATGTGTGCTCCTAATAGTGAGCGTATACCAAGGGTTCGGTAACGCATAGTGTATGGAATAATAAAACCCCTAATATCTCGGCAAGTTCCTCCAGATTTCTGGAGTTTGAATGGTCGACTTAAAAAGGCATCGACCATACTCTGAAATTACTTAGGGGTAACCATAATACTATTAATATCGGTGTTGAACCTCTAGGAACGTTTGAAAGGTAATTCCGCGAACCTCGAATGCCGACAGTAATTTTTCAATTACTAAATGTGGCTTTTCTATGCTTCGGATGATGGCGGCAGCAACCGCGTGTGACAATGCGGTGTTTTGGTACTCATCTGTCTGAAGAACATCGGCGTCAGCTTCTAACAAGGCGCTTACTATAGACAAATTATTGGAGAAACTGGCTACCATTAGAGGAGTAACCATATGGGAAGCTAGGACATTAACGTTAACCTACAAATTGTAAGTCAAGATATGATACGTCTCTTCGAGAAACTGAAAACCTTTTCGGAGATTAATATGTTTACAAAGCCATTCCAATTGTTTTCAACGGCCCTGTGAAGTAACCGATTGCAATCATTTCCCGTAAAATCTGCACTTCCAAGCGTGTGTTTTATATCATTCCACAATTTTGTCAAATCAGGTTCGTCCCACTTGTTTTCTACTGCCATGAGTAGAATACCGCACCCGTTATTATTTTTGGCACCATTTTCCAATAAAAAGTTAGCAATCTCGACGTGCTTCAATTTTACAGCCCACATCAACGGAGTGCATGTGGGGTTCTAAAGGTAATACTAGTTTAAGGCTACCTCCAATTTAAACGTACCCGTCCAAATGCGTTCACATTGCATCCTTCATTTACGAGCTGCTTCACTAGCTCATATTTATTCAAAATCACTGCCGCGATCAGTGTGGGCACGCTCACCTGTAAAGTCCGTTACCGACAGAGAGTTAGAGGACGATCCTTACCCAGTCATCCTCTTTGAGAATGGATTTTAACCTGTCAATCTCTTCGCTGGAGAGGCGGTACAAAAAATTGGTGCTCTGTTCCTTTTCACTTTTACTAAAAACCTTTCCCCTTCGTTTTGGTGTATTTTCCTTCTTAGTGCCTTTGGTCCTGTTGCGAGGCATTAAAATTGTTGTTGAATGTATAAAATACAAAAAAGCTGTAAATTTGAAGTATGTAAATTGAGTTTGTCAAAACCATTGGTAACTGGATGCCTCAATGGGCACAGCCGGTTTCAATAAATATTTCAGACGAAAATAAGAAATTACATATATTTGTACGAAACTCGCGCTCGGCATTGGTTTTGAAACTATCACTTTTGACTGCCTTCCTCCTGAAATAGGACTTCCACGCAAAATTGGTAGTTTTAGAATCAGTGCCGAGCCAGCCGAAGGTGAGTTCGGCACAAACCTAGGCAGATTAGAGGTTTGATGGGGTAAGTAAATTTATACGAAACTCGCCTAAAGCTCGCTGGGTGTGCTGGTTTTAAAATTATATTCTTTCGAAAGTCCAATAACACTTACCTACCCAATCATACCACTACTGTGCCTAGATTTGTACCGAACTTGACTTCGGCTAGCTCGGCACTGGTTTCAACACTATCCCTTTTGCCTGCCTTCGCTCGTTCGTGATTAAAATACGCCTGTTATTAAACTTCCACGCAAAATTCCTAGTTTCAGAACCAGTGCCGAGCGAGCCGAGGTCGCATTCGGCACAAACCTAGGTAGAGTGGAGGTTTGATGGAGTAGGTAAATTTGTACAAAACTCGACTTTGGACCACTATTCTGCCTAGGTTTGTGCCGAACTCCCCTTCGGCTCGCTAAAAACTGGTTTTGAAACTCGTCATTGAAATACGCCTATTATTAAGGATTCTCAGATTCTTTATAGTTTTGTATTGTCAGCCGTCCGTGCGTCTGTGTGCGCCCTAACTCTTTTTAAAAGTGGTCGATTGGGTTGAAATTTGGATGTACGAGTACTTTGGACATTAAGGACGGACGCTATTGATTTTCAGGAAGCTGGTTCAACAGGAACAAAAGTTATAGGACTTGGAGTGAATCGGGAACAGGAAAAATTGCGCGCTCAATATAATAGAAAACAACATATTTAATTCCCTAGGTCATGTATCGAGTTCGGACTTTTGCTAGATTTATTGCCTATGACTCTTAGATGTGTAACAATTCAATATAGCTCTTCTCTGTGGTATAGATTAAAAGTTTTAGAGCAAAATGTACCCAAAATTATTTTTTACTCTCAGCACTCTGGTAAATCAACATTTTCCATGTCTTAGAGCGATAGTGAAATTAAATTCTAACGTTACGTGGTTTAATAATAATTTGAAACAAATGCGGGATTTAATGAATGCAACAAAAATAAGAGCAGATGTTACCAGGGACCCATTAGGTACATGCTCAAAAATATAGGTTACTAAGATCCAATTATCGGAAATATATAGTGGTTTCAAAAAAGGAAAGCTTATAAAAATATTATTAGTGCGTCCAAGAATAAAAGTAGAGATGGTTGGAAACTAATTAATATGGAAAGAAATAAAGTGAAGCAAACTGAAATTATGCTATCACATATTGAGTTAAATTCCCATTTTGTGACAGTTGCCAGTAAAGTACTTAGCGCAATCTCCGCATCGAGTAATCAGGTTGCGGATTATTTAAATAAATATCGTTCTCCTTCAAGCTATTTTTAATTTATAGACCAATCTCTATAATACCAACGCTCTCAAAAGTTGCCGAAATCTTAATTAAAAATCGTCTAATGGAATTTTTAACTAAACACTGTATACTTAGCGATAGTCAATTTGGATTTAGACTACTATAAAAGCAGTACTTTCCTTAATTGAATATATAATTGGGGTTCTCGAAAATAGGGAAATACCAATAACGTTTCTTTATGATCTATCGAAAGCCTTTGACTGTGTGCAACCATCCATATTAATACAAAAATTAAATCACTATGGGATACCTGGTAAACCATTGCAACTATTCCATTCTTATATAACAAATAGAAAGCAATGTGTTTCTTATAATAATTTCGCATCTAGCATTGAACCCATTCTGTATGGAGTACCGCAAGAGTCGATACTAGGATCGGTATTGTTCTTATTGTATATAAATGATCTATCAAATATTTCAACCTCACAAATGCATTCAATATGCTGATGATACTACCATTTTATGTTCCGCTATGGATAAAGAACAATAATTAACATCTAGCGTAAGTCTAACTGAAGAGAGAGCACAGGAATGGTTGATTACAAACAAATTAAAAAACAATCCAAATAAAATGCAGAAAATAACTTTTACTACAACAAAAAATAAAAATAACAGATCAAAATGTAAAGTTATTGGGTATACGTATTGATAATGAACTAAACTGCGAGGCTCACGTCGATTTAACTTTGTATATGAAGCTGTCAGGAAATATTTACCTGTTAAGACAATTGCGAAAATCGTTAGATGACGCTACATTATTGAGCTGCTATTTTGCAGTATTCCACTCCATAATAAACTATAGTATTATTTTGTGGGGCGAAACTGCGTGTACATTACGAGTATTTAGGTTGCAGAAAAAAGCAATACGCATTATAGCTAGACTTGGGACTAGAGACCATTGTCGTGCCTATTTTAAAGAATTAAAAACTTGATCTCTCGCTCTATCGGGTGATCAAAAAAAACTGCAGTTTAAAATGAGCGCTTTAAGTTTTTAATATTTTTCACTTAAGGAATTGGCAAACATGTTTAGAAGGAAGTTTATTTATGTCTTAGTGATTAAATTGATGCACCACTGCTTTTACATAAATGACATTTGGTATGTTATCAACGTTATAAATGTTTAGTTTTACGGAAAATTCAAATTGTCCGCACTACTTTTCGATCACCCGAATTAAATAAGGAAATAAAAAAGTTACCATTACGGGAATTTAACCGAACATTAAAAAAATAATATTAGTACATTTCTTGCAGAAGCTCCAAATGACAAGTACCTCTTTGCTGAAGTAATTATAACAATAGTTCGTTAAAAAGCAATTGAATATACTTCACATTTTTAGATAGTTTTAGTAGTTGGTGTCAGTGGTGCATGCCGTAAACGCACGAATTGGCTCAACTAAAAGTACAGGATATCGAAAACATGGGTTCTGCCGTTCACATTAACATACCAGAGACAAAAACTAAGAAGCCGCGTTCCTTTACTATTACTGGAGAATTTTCCGATATCTTAAAAAAATATACTACTCTCAGATATTTAAATACAAGTAGCGAACCTAGTTTTTTCTCAACAGCAGTAAATGGACCAACGTCTGGTTAACAACATTTCCACAGTCCCCAGGTCTACTTTGATTTCCAAAGAATGCAACACACATATGTTAAATGCAGATGTTTTGAAACACCCGATCAACGTTAACAACTGTACAAATAATCAATTCATATTCAATTTTTATAGTGAAAATTCGAAATAAAATAACGTTTGTTTCATTATGTAAGTAGATTTTTGGTTGTATGGAGAGCGGTAGCAAAAAAAAGTGTACATGACTCGTTTGAAAGGCACTTTTCACACTCGTTATGATACTATTTCCCTGAAACCGTCAAGAAAATCTAAATTTCAGAGCTATTTTGATATAAAAAGTTGATCTTTACCTGACTAGTACTGTAATGGTTTTGCCTGACTTCCATTACAGTCCTAGCATGTACATGCAAAATAACAATTTCATTGAATAAGTTACTCAATCAACGATTGGATAATTATAATGCAGACTACGTGGATATTTTTAAATATTTACCTACACAAAGGATAATGGTTTTTTAATTACTAACAATTAATGGAATATGTGTGGAAGTAATTATTCCTTTAGTTTTGCGCCAGTCATTAAAAGGTTTGTACGCCTTTTCGTACCTCTTTCTTGACTTTGTAGGGGGCGAATATTGCACTACGGCGGCCGCAGCTTCGGCTACGTTATAACAACGTCTCGCGTAGGTACCTACTCTCCTTCACTGATACCTAGTTGTACCTAGTTATAAAGAGTGTATAGTTGAAAAGTACAAAGTATAAACTGCAAACTGCATTAAAAATGACACTGATTGTTTTAATTATTTGAAATCTCTATGGAAACAATTAAATAAAGTGATTTTAGCATGGGTGATTAGGTATCAAAATTTCACACATATGAATAATTTAATTTGGAAAAGTTATCTACATGTTGCGGTTTCAGGTAAAATTTTATACATAATACGTCATGAAAGTGAGTCCACCTGACTTGGAGGCATTAAAGAGATACTCGGACGCGCAGCGTCCTCGTATACTTTTCAGTAAGCCTCCGCGTCATGTAAACGACCACTTTCATGACTTATTATGTAAATAACTATTAGCAAATTGTTATTACAGTGTCGAAGAGTATATGCTTGCCCCATAACCCTTCATTTATGTTAATACTGTTTGTTTTATATTTTATTCATATGTTTTGATTGTTATATACTTACTTTACATGTTAAATATCCAGACGAGACTAAGCAGTGTCAACTGAATGTCAAAAATAAATATTATTATTTAACTGAAATAGTGGCAAATTAACTAGAGCAAGGAAGAGAAGAAAATTGTAACATTCGTTGCAAGTTGCTGCAGAAATCGATACAAACCATATACAAGTTAGGCCCGGTTGTTCAATCATGGTTTAAACTGTAGATTAGCTTAAACTGGCGTTTAAAGCTGTAAGCTTAGTTTAATGCATTGCACCACTGCGGTTTAACGTTAAACTCGGTTTAGATTAGAGGTTTAACTAAACGGTGAAAGAGGGCCGTTTAACGGTCCTAAACCGTCAAACATAACCCCAAATACCTACATAATCAAACAAACGCGAAAACGTTATTCTTGTCATTTAGGGCTGTTGGTCTCATGGTTTGTTAATCAAGATGAACTACACGGATTTTGATAAGCCAATTACTGATGATGGTTTTTTGGAGCTAATGCAGCTGTTTTTGGACGATGAAGAAGAACCTCTCATTCCAACCAATTCCTCTATTTGCTCGTCTACATCCGTCGTTATTATTTTCTTCGCTGGCCCTTCCCCAGTAGCATTTAAATATCTCTTTTTATTTGCAAATTTTTTCTTTAAAACCTTTTTTTGCTTCTGAGTGTTTTCGCTTCCCTTACTTGACCTCCTGCAGCATTAAACTCCTCAGCCTCATGCAGCGTCTTTGAAGCGGTTATTAAGAACGTCCGTTTTTTTACACTCTATTGTTGCTCGAAACTTTTTGACGAGCTGCAGAAGCATCGCATCGTTGGATTGAAGTTTACAGATCGTGGTCGCTTCCGTACTAAATCACCATTCTCCATTTCCAAACGGTGTTACTAGCCATGATTAATTACACAAAAAATACAGACACTATTTCAATCACGAACAAAACAACATACACGCTTGTAAACAAACCAAATTTGAAGTTTGAATAGCGTAAACGTCAAAATTTGAGCGGATTACAGTGTTGCCATCAATAGAAATTTCATTAAACGCAGTTTAGTTAAACTCTCCCTAAACTGCGAATGAGCAACGCAATAAAAGATTAACTGTGGATTATCTTAAACTACAGATTACCTAATCTGCAGTTTAAACCGTGATTGAACAACCGGCCCTTAATGTATTAAGGACGATTCGGTAAGAAAATTGGTCACTTTCGTTCAAAGCCAAATGTATGATATAAACATCAGCTTTCATATCTCTAAAATCATGACATCAAGGTGTTTTAGAAGAAGCAATAAGAAAAAAGTCGAACACTCTCATTTAGAAAAAGTCGATTGTCCTAGCAGAATTTTGATGGCGTTCACCGTATTTAATTAAGTCATATTCTTATCTCAAATGTACAACCAATTGCATATTTCGTAAGGCACATACAATGTTATCTTGTTTACTAGGTAAATACTTTCAACTGCTTTTCCTGAAATGTGTGGAGTTTGATTACCTATTCTTGATTATTTTTCACGTTTGTGCACGTTGCCTCTAAATTAAGAGCATCGCAACTCACGCGCCTCTGACCGGTAGCAATTCAAAAATTTGTCAAAAGTTTGGTCAAAGTTAGTAATTGCACTCCACCCAACACTTATGATACAATAATTGTTAAAAAAATGTAGATCTGACGGAAGTTGGTATCTACTGAAAAACAACGAGTCAGCAAATATCGTCCTGATACCTGTCATGTATTTTTGTGTAGAAGAACATTGGTCTACACATGTCATATTGGCATACTATGAAAAGTAAGAAAAACTATTCTATTGCGCAAAGAAATCAGGCAAATATAACACAACAGTGGGGGAACAAAATATCTAAAAGGCATAAAATAATTGATTGGTAAAGAGAGTTTAGGGTAACAGTTTTTTTTCTGGCTTTTAGTAGCGATTCAATTAGTGTAGCGGATGGTAGGTTCACTGAATGAGCAACAGACAGAATAGAATAAGACATAGAAGCGAATCACTATTACCACTAATGGCAATTATGATTTAATGTATTAAAAAAAAGAGAGGGATGAAGAGGACAAATGGATTTAGTGGCGGAAATCAATTTACAAAAAATAAGCCTTAAACAGATTAGTCCTTTCAGTCTATAATATATCACAATTACCTACATGCTAGTTACAATACAAAAAACAGGAGAAGTATGTCTATCACTAACTCTTTCCAACTCATTACTGCTGGATGAGTTATAAAGTCGATTGCTCGAATCGTCTATACTAACGTACGAGTCACTTTGCTCGTCACTGCTATCACATGCACTTGAGAATGCCTCATTTACCGACTCCTCAGTGACCGGCTCGTGTCTCCTAATCACGTTGTCTCTCTCCACCTTCGTCTTGTTATGGGGGAATAGAGCGGCGTATGGAGGGGGCTGATCCAATTCGTCATAGTTTGGAGGACGCGTGCCAGAGCTGTCTTGTGTGCGGTTTATAATTAGAACTGTTGTTGATGGTGCTGCTGGTTGCAGGTCCAGCTGCGGCTTAGGTTTTCTGAAGCAACACTCCCACAATCCGCAAAACATAAGTATCGTTCCAACAATTAGCATTGCTAGCATCAGGTAACCCCAAGTACCGTAATGGGCGATCGCCGCCGATACGGAGTCGCCTGTGTCATGGTGGTCATGGTCAGGAAGCGTAACTGGAATTGAACCCCAAATAAAAGGCGTCCACGTCAGCAACCATACTATTTACCTTCGTATGACTTTACGTCCTTCAGACTCATTAAATCTTCCTGTTTTTCGGACTTGTTTTTCCCGATAACGCCCTCCGCTACACGTTTCCAAGAACTGCGATCCAGTGAAAAGGACTTGCACAATACCGGATCTTCATCACTTCTCGACGACCCCTTCGGACAGTTCAGGTTTCCGTCACAAACTAATTCTTCGGAAATACACAGCATAGGCTTCCACCCGATTCGCATGCATACGTGTTGCCTCTTTTGGATGCAGACCTCGTCTGTAACAACTAATATGTAACGGCCGTTGAAATGACATTATCTTTGTTTTAGTTTCTAAATTGATAAGGCCTGCAAACAAATGTAGAAGCGGTAGCGAGGACAGTCGGGGTAAAATCTGGAATATGCGATTGCATACTATGAAAAATATTTAACGACTTTTTATCTCTCCCTTTAAAATAGTCTGTGCAAATAGGTTGGTTAATGTTAATATTGATCTTTGCGAGATATCGTGTATTACGTTTTTAACTTTACCTTGCCCCACCGCCGTAATTATCAATTTTCTTCCTCTCACGTGTTTCGCAAAACGCGGCGGATTCCATGTGAGCATTAGATTGGGCGTTAGCAAGTCTACATCTGGCAGTTTCTCTTTCATGCAAGGGTTACCTTTCCAAACTGAGACGGTTCTATAATCAGGAAGAAACTAAAAGAGACATTTTGAAGTGGTGCCCTAATTTGTTGATACCTACCACACTTAATGGACAAGGGGAGCTATCTAATGTGTCATTTTCTTGCTCTTCAGCTTCTTTTTGCCATTGCAAATTTATAACATGAGATGTGGGTGCTGTAATATTTAGTCTGCAAACTTTCTTCTGATCCTTCGGATTTAAAAGGATTGTCACTGAAGACGCCCTGCCAGTAGGTGCCAAATTTAGCATGTAGCTTTGGTCGCACAATTCTCGGGTGATAACTGAAAAAAGACATACGCGTTACTACGTTTTGTTTTTGACTTCCGTTTTTGGAAAGTTTATCGATATTCAAAGGTCAGACTAGAATATAATACAATGTGATTTATTTGTACTAGATCTCAGTAATCCAAATCGTATAAACAGCTATTTTGAACACCCAACAGGTCAAAAGGTTTGAAATGCAATATTAAATCATTACTAACACCATTGTACTAAAACGAATGATATCTGATGGTGAAAGTCTTCAGCCAAGGAGTTGTACCAGCAACCTGATGTTTTAGTTGAGTAATGGCTTAGCACAAGCTGTCCAACTTACTAGGGCCTAATTGAAAATGCAAACACTGAAATTTTCGGCTGTTAAAATGAAAGTTATCTCTATTGACGATTGCGAGCATAATTAGATTAACTATGCTAAAAGCGAGCACATTTGGTTAACAAAGCTAGACACATTCTTTACGTGGTTTTTCCGATTTTATTGTAAGCTAGAGGGAATAAAGCGTGAAGCATGTCAGAAGGTAACGGTAGCTCTAAATTTGCATTTAAATTTTTTCGAAATTTTGTTGTAAAGATAATCGATGTGTAGTCTGAAAATTAGAGTTGTTAATTAATTCGTGACAGAGTCGATAGTATGGCGGATTTCCTAGTAAAATTTGGAAAAGATTCGTGTTTGGAAAGATGTTGTTACAAGTGAACGACCCTCAATAAAGTTTGAATCAGATTCGAGTTTTAGACAACCGTCAGGTCCAGTATTTGTTTTGGTACGTAATATATAATATTGCTAGTTCCGGTAGTTATTGTTAAAAAGGAACAAAGTTTGAAGTAAATAAGTTATTACGTGTCCGTTTTATACTCGTATAGAAAAAATATGGATTATTGCGAAAATTAACAGGAGGAAATAGACAATCGCGTAAGAATTGTTTACGTAAGGAGGTCATAACTTCTGTATTTGGTCAAGAATAATTTAAGTAAGCGCGTTTAATATACAAAGAACCACTGGTAAAGCTGCTGTGTAAATGTTTACTGCCGGTGAACCTGAAGAAGTAGTCGTAAACTCATCCTAATTGTTACATTAGAAAAAATTCAATAAGAAACATTAAAGTGCACATTTGTACGTAGTGAACTTGTGATACTTTAACCAAGTGTTTCCAATTTTTTGGTCCAACTCATTAACCCCATGGTGGTTTGCTCGTAACTTTTACAAGGATACACCAGAAAAGACAGAGTTTCAAAAAATGTTGTATAATTTGAACATTCAAAGAAGTTTGGTGTTATGGGTGGCTAGATTTCAATGTGCACGATCCGTCGCCCATCTTTCCTAATTCATTTTCACCGAAGGAGGTATCCAACCCAATTCTGTTTCAACACTGTCACCTGCAAAAGGGTCGTTGTATATGATGGTTTGAAAATTCTTAAAGAGCTCAACCTATTTGCAATTAAAGCCGGTTTGGCTTGCTAATATTTTTTCTTTGTTTGTGAACCCACAATAAATTTGATTTACTTATTTAAAATGAATTGAGTTTTGTGTAGAAAGTTGTTCTGCTCACAATTAATTGA